ACTGCTACTGCTACTGCTACTGCTACTACTAGTACTACGACTAGTACTTACTACGACTACTACTACTACTACTACTACTACTACTACTACTACTACTACTGCTACTACTACTGCTACTACTACCGCTGCCGCTCCTCGCTGTTGTATTCCGTGATCATGGAAACCTGAGGAAGTCCGTGGCTTGTCGTGGGCGCATGCCTTGGCTGTCCTGGGTTGCGAACGGACTGTCATGGACCTCATAAGTTGTGTAATCTTGCTCAGACAGCTCGCGATCATGGGGGTAGTGACGGCAGCAGCAGCAGTCATCTTGGATCCAGCAGTCATGGGTGCTTACTCAGGCGGATACGAGCTTTATGCCAAAGTACTTGACAAATGCTTCAATGGGCTATACCGGGCCGCCTCCCCTGCAACTCGGAGAGGCAATGCCAAGTTTTACGAAGAGTCTCCCTACCTTCATGTCAATGTAGAGGCCGGGACAAGACTTTCATTCTCAAGTTCTCACCCTTTCCCGAAACGATGAAGACAGGCACGCAGTTCTGGGAATGTTTGGAGCTTGTCGCATTTCAGCTGAGGTATGACCATGTTTACACCAACACGCGCATACTGTTGGAGCCGTGGTGGAGGCAGTGGACGAATGGGGCATGCATAACACAGGCTTGAGTGCTTGTTTCGAGTGGCGGTATTGCTCATGGTATTTAGCACCATACCCTGAAATTTTCAATGATGTGCAGATCAGGAACGAAGCAGCTTCGATAAGGTTTCGAGAGACACAGAGGCCTCTCTTCAGGAAAACCCCATTTTTTGAATCTAACACGTTCTAGGATCACGCACGCGCTCCACTTGCCGAGTGGATTGGATGCAGCGATGCAGGTATCCTGGCGAGGAAACTTGTTCACGACATCCACTCGTTTCTGCAGCTTGGCTTGTTGTATTGCAGAACATGTGGTGTAGCTGCTGCTGGTGATCTGCTCCTCGAGGAGACTGCACGGCTGAAGCTGGGAATGGAAGGCCCGTTGTCGAGTGACCTTAGGCCGCTGGGTCGATATGGTGACTTGACCTTCCGCAGGCTCTGCCCCTATTTGCCCTGGGGTTCAACAAACATGGTTGCGGCCCAAGCTGCTGGAGACGCGGAGTTGACAGAGAGCCCGTAGAGAATCTCAGTGGCCCAGGGTTCGAGACCTGGATGGATCTCTTCTGCGCGAGAGTGGTGTGGCACTACCGACCGGCGGTCTCTTGCCGAGCTCCTGCGATTCGCAGACCTCGAGTTTCGCGCTCCGCTCAGTGGGATCAATGCGACAACAGTGCAATATCGGTGGAGGGCACTCTCACACCGCAGCGTCTCACTGACAGTCCCCGAATATCAAGCCCACCGTTACTCCCATTTCTTCCTCCAAGTTGATGGCGACCTACATTCCCAGCGCTTGGCCACAGCGCTGTGGCAACGAGACGACCGCGCAGTGTCCCGCAGGTGACAGCTGTAGTGAAGCTTGCAGTCATAGGTTCAGGTGGACTGAGTGCCTCGGTCTTTCGTCGAGGCTAGTCGGTATCCAGGTCTTCTTGCTTTGCATGTCGTCATCCACAGGTTGCTGGCATTGGGTGGGAGCATGGTGCATGGCATGCCTGCCACGAAATGCTCATAATGAAGCTTCGCCAGCCTCGTGTGCCCCATGCCAGGTGCCCATTTCGCATACACGCTGGAGGGGGGTCTTACCGTGCTTCGCCTGCAGCATGTCTGCTCAGCTAGCAAGGTTCCGCCAGGCTGAGGGGCAGTGGCGCAGGCTGCAGGCTGATAGTGTGGACCACTTTTGGACCCTGTTGGGGAGAGCATAGCTGCTAAAAAAGTCGGGGAGGAACCAATGATCTCTGTGTTGTAACCCACTCAGACGAGTCTCCGAGGAGCATCAATTCCGCGGCGCAAACCACCAACAGCGACTCCTCGTCAAAGGGGCATACAAACCCGAGAGCCATGAAGCCCTGAACCCTTCACCCTAAGCTTGAAAGCGCAGCTCCACCAACCCCAAAGCCTGAACCCTGCCCGACACCGGAAACTCTCAAACCCTGAACCCTTGCCCTGCGCTTATTAAGCCTTCAACCGCACGTGCACACACCCGAAACGCTCACTCCGAAGCTCCGAGAGCTTGAATCCATTCCGAAGACAGGTCTGCCAAGACCGACTCCGGCTGCTGAATTGGGAGAACCTGGATCCAGACTGTTGCGGCCACCTGGGCAGCAATGAGGGATCCTTTAAGTCAGCACGCCAGTGTCGAGCTCTTGGAGGCCTTGTGAAGAGTCTTGTCTTTGAGAGAGCTTCCCGATACTTCCAGCCATCTGCGGGGACATAAACGTGCTTCGCGGTGCGGAAAAAAAGCTCTGGACCATTGCGCTTGGCTTGGATTCCTTCAGCTCTTGGCAGCTCCTTGCTGTGGTTTTTGCTTTTCGTAGTGCCCATGTCGCAGAGGTTTTCACCGCCGCGAGTTGGGACTGCTCCGTGCAACGCGGCTCAGCGATGGCATGTACGAGGAGCGGAGGGCATGCTTGCTGCTCTTGGGCGCAACATTCTCCCATGGAGTGATGATGACAGCGGTATTCTGCAGTTCTGTGCAAGGAGTCCTGGCCCATGTTTGACGATGACTGCGCTCGTGGCTGCTGGGTCAGAACTGGATTTTGCAGACCATTGCGCTGATAATTCCCAGAATGAGACACGAACAGATACGACTTGATGCGAGAAAAAGCGGCGCGTCCTGAAGACAGATGTTGTAACAAGCTTTTCTCACAATGGCAAGGTCTTGAGTATGGACGCAGCTCTTATGTGATTCGGGTGGACGCTGAGCTGCAACTTCTTGACTCGCCGACAGCAGCAAGTTACAGCGCGTGTTGAAGGTTCGCATGAAAGAGGAATGCCATGCATTGACGTTCATCCATTTCTGTTGCTGCTTACAAGCTATACTCTACCTATCATTTGGCACGCGACTGACGATTGCCAAGCTTCGACAATGCATAGCCGACATTCTCTAGATGACCTTGATGGGGTTTTGGCAGTGATGATCACGACGATCACATGTGTGATCCGACGACGGAGGCGGTAATCATGTTGTGGTTTCATTTGTTGCAGTCGTTAGTGATGCTGATGCTGCTGTTGCTTTTCATAGTGGTGTTTGCTGACGGTGTTGATGGTGATAATGGAGATGATAGTTACGGAGATGGTCCGAAAGATGGTGATGACGGCGAATGGAGAAGATGAAGGGGGTATTAGTGCTGCTGCTGCTAACTTTGGTTGGTTCGTCTGCACAAGGGTTCCTGTCTTTCGGGCAAGGCAGAGGTGGGTTCCAAAAGGCGAAGTGCGTGCAGTGACGGAGCTATGTCGCATCATGTTTTTTGGATCCCACCCCACACT